GATAGTCCAATTAATATTAATAAGGTCGAAAGCACAGATAATTTTATAGTATTTTCATTATTTTTTATGTCTGTTATTATTTCACATAATTTAGTATATTTAAACATTTGGACGACTATATACATATATACAGCCTTAAAATTTTTTGAGAAAAATCAAATGCAAATAGTTTCGCTGCTTTTTCTGCTTATTTAAAAGTCTCACTCACTTTCGAGGAGTGACCGATGTCGCTTCGAACTGACGAAAGGAAGAGAAGGCTCATCGATCAGAAAATACGCGCACGCCCGTGCCGTCTTTTATGCTAATACCTATAAAGTCTGGCACAATCGTCGCTGTTATTATCGAGCCTACTACGACCGATCGTAAATCTCGCGCGCGACGGTCGGACATTTCAAAAGTGGCTCCTTCCGAGATTCACACACTCGCTCGTACCCGAGAGAAGTTGAGATACACACTCTCGAGGAGAGTCGTCTCGCCATCTGCGGCAAGGCCGTCTATCCATGGGTATTGGGCCTCGTAATAAGCCCCTCTTTCGTCGTCGTCACGTGGAAAAAAATCCGGAAAATATGACAGATTTTCGTAATTTAGCCTTTGATTCCTTCATACGTAAATATTCAAAGAAGAGAAACCTGATTTGTTTTCAACAAATATTTTTTTCATGCATATTAATTACTTTCTGAAAAGGTATTATAAGTGTAAATTAAATTAATTATCTGAAGGGAAAAAAATCCAGAAAATATGACAAATAACTTACCCTTCGATTCCTTGACACACAAATATTAAAAAAAAAACCTGATTTTTTTAACGAAATATTTTTTTCATGCATAATTAATTACTTCTGAAAATATAAATTAGTTAATTATCTGAAGGGAGATTCGAGAAAAAAAAAATATATATATATAATTCGATGATAATACTTTATGAAACCCAGAGTGTCATGCCAATTTTTCTGTCATATCGTACCATAGACACCTCACATAAATCAATGAAAAATAAAAACGAGTACAAGAGGACAGAAAATATTGAAATGAACGAACGCTCTGGTTAAGGCCTTTTATTAATCTTTTTATATAGTTTTTGGTCAATTTACCACTGTTCGTAGATAAAATGATAACGTAACATAGGCAAACGTTGCGTATAATAATCATAGCAATTAATCTTTATTATCGTCTTGATGATAATATAATAAATCTCACAATAATATAATATAATAGAGAGAATAATCATCATTATCATCATAGCAATAGCTGTAATAATAATATTAATATTGATAAATCGTCGATATTGCTTAATCATTAACGCACGGCCGTGTGACATCGTTGGGGTTACAAAAGCTTAGGCCTAAGAATTAGCCGCCCGGCGTCTAAATTTAACGCGCAAACTGTAACGGAGAACTAATATTCTCTTATCTCTCGTTACACCAGATCGTTCTGGTGTATACGTTGTTACAACGCTATGACTGTTAAGAAAAGCGAAACTGAGCGCAATATTTTCCCAGAAACACAGAGATCGTTTTGCACAATCGTGTTGTGAATTATCAAATACGGACACGCGAGACTTTACTGCATCGCCATCATGCAATTTTTCAATATATGGATACATTTACGTATTGCCTCGTGAATACACTTATTCTGTATCAGAAAGTATGTGAATGAACGATATCGATTAAAATAACGTCTCGATGATATTTTGCAGAAAATTATTTTCAAGATACATAGATATAATGCTACGGCTTCTCTTGAATCCTGTATATTCTGGAGAACCAAATTCTCTGGTTATATCATCATCATGCGATATATAAATCTCTCGAGGATTTATCTCTGATTTTCGCTGAGAATGATGTTTGGTGATTTAGTATCTCGATATACTTAACCCTTCAATGAGACGAGTAAAGCCTAAAATATTATCACGTAATATCGATTATTCGCGCGGTCACGATTTTCAAAGTACGGTGATAATTTTTCAAACATTTCTCATACACTAATGCTAGTGCTCTCCATAAAACTATGATGAGAAGTCCAAATAAAAAATACGTATTTTATCGTGAAGACTATAATGAGACATGTAACAAATAACCCGTGTTAATCGCGACGATGATTATCGAAGGGTTAAGTCAACTTATAGCTTAACTTAGTAGATATACTTTACAGGATAAAAACGAAGATATGCTTTTTATAACAACGTACTCGTTATATTTTACAGAAGATATAAAAACGCCATATGTTTGCGCGCACCGAACTTCAGTAGCAAATCCGTCGTGTTTTCTCGACCATCTGTTTTGTGTGCATTTATTTAAACGTCATTTCGAGTGAAATAAATGATACACACCATGGCCGTCTAGACTAGAGATCAATTTGATTGCAATAGAAGATTTTTCGCCGAAACTGCTCGCGAATATATTTACAGGCAATGTTGTATTATAATTATATAACTGTGTGTTGTGTTTGTATGTGTATATATTGTATGTACGTGTGTAGAAAACACGACGACATTATACGCGCAAGACGTAGGAAATCGTATCGAATTCCGAATAAGGCAAGGCGACTCGAGTCCATCGTGACTAATCTTCATATTCATTACGGAAGATTTTCGCCACGATTTTCGCGCATTTCCTACCTCGATCGACGTATAACACGTGTACAACGTTAGCGAATTAAAGAAGACTTTCCTGAAATGAACCGGAGAGGATCATATCGGCAACATATATATTCGTCGTCCGAATAATAAAACGCTCCTACTCGCACATTGACCGTTTATCTATCTAAAACCACGGTACTAAAAATATCCTCTTTCGCATGCTAATCATCTTGTCGCACAAATAAATCCTTTTCTCTCCGCCTTAATCCGTCCGTACTAAGACACTTGGTACAAAATTTGGCGCTACGCTCGCGTTTGGTATAAAAAACAGTTAAACACTGGAATGGCATTTCTTTTCGACGACACACACATCGTTATCTACAATGCAGTCTGTTTTCTTATCGGGAGTTTTCAGGGAAACGGGCAAGGGAAAAAAAAGGGGAAAATGGGGTCGTTTGATTTTATATCCGATGGATCCGAGCGTGGGAGAGTCTCTCTCACTTTTTTTTTTTTTACTCGATCCTCGATTCTTTCTTTCTCCTGTACCTTTTCTCGTTCTTTTTCTTTCATTCTCTTTCCTCTCCTTCGTGGCGAGGCCGTAACGTATAAATAAATTATCTTTGATAATATAATCGATAAACTATATAATTAAATAAAAATGATTAGGCGTTACCGATCGGCAACGGTGAAAACGATTGATCGTGCAATCGCGACGGTCTCTCGACAATCTTCCACGATACGTGATCTTGAAAATTGGCATCATTCATTGATATTAAGTATCTTAAAGTACCACGCTCGTCAAATCACATGAATGGTAAAAAATTAAAAAGCTTTAATATAATATTTATATATTTAATTAAATTTAAAGAAACTTTATATACTCATACACACATTATATATGTGTATATATATACATATATTTATATATAATAATATATACCTATTTATTACATATATACATATATGTGTATATAAGAAGTATATATATAATAAATATATATATATATAATATTTATTTATATATATATGTATAAAGAAATTTTTAATTTTTGCAAAAATTATCATAATAAAATATTTTTTTGCAGTTTAAAAAAAATGTGCATGATTTAAAGATTACTATTCAAACTCAGCAATTGACGAACATATAAGATGCAATCGTAAATCGACTACCATTAATGCAAGACTCGCCGCATTTAATTGCACACTTTTTCCGTATTAATCAATTGAAAACTTGTCCACGGAACGAGTTTCCTTTCTCTTCTCTCTCTCTCTCTCTCTCTCTCTCTTATTTTGCCGTCTATCGTAAACGTCATCTCGTTCTTCAGCACCATCTAAGCACCACCCTGATACGTGACTACTAAGAGCTACTAACTGATTGACCCCGTACCGTTAAGTTACTCTCTAGTCGGACGTCTTCGATCTACAATGATGTTGTTTGAAGGCGTAGGCGAAGAGCAGAAATAGAAAGCAATAGTCCAAGCGTCAAATTGTTTGCTGTGATGATAATGCACACCGCAATAAAATAAACACTTCAAGTACAAGAATTTTTTCAAGTGTAGAGTCCAGAATTGAAAAAATTTAGATTTTGAATTCTTTGTTTTTATAATTATGAATTTTTCTTTAAAGTTTTGAAGTTTTAAATATTAAAACTTGTAAATGTGTTTTTTAATCTCAAAATGCATCTGAAGTTAGTTGACTTTGATTTTAAATCTTGAGATAAAAAAATATCAAGCACTTTGAAACTTCAAGCTTACATAATTAAAAAAATTACAAAATTGTAATTTTGTGAATTTCTGAAATATTTAGTAGGGAGCGATCTCTTAAAGAGCATCGTCTTTCGATGTTAAAAAAATATCTAAAATAGTCTAAAAAAATTTAAATAAATTAGACCAATCCACTATTTACGATACTTTTCACTCGCTAAAAGTAAAATTTGATATCACAAATAATCTTTTTAGTATAGAGTAATTCAATCTTATCATGGACTCTCTCGATTTTTCTTTTCCTGCACTTCTAAAAATTGGTAAACTTTTCAAACTACAGATCTCTGAATCTCCCTTTACGTACTATCTTTCCGAGTCAATTATAAAACACATTTTAAAAGTCAACTATAAAATATATATATACCCTATTATTTCCTCTCCGTTATTAAGACGTCCGACTCATCTATTAAATCGAATGAAGAATCAAGCGCAGCAAGAGACGCGAATGGTTGCTCTCGCTAATGTCAGCGGTGAGTCGAAGAGCCTAACTTAGCCTAACGCAAGAAGGCTACCCGATATACCACTCTCAAACGCTATCCGATGCCACGGACATCGGTCTTTTATAGGATACGGTACGAGGCACCGGTATCCTCGAACAACCTTCCTGAGGTTTGGGATCTTTTCGGGGAGAAACCGATACCTGAACATCCTGAGGCACAGTCATCGTCCCGTTACTGTCCACCCACATTTGGCGAAGTCCATATTCGCAGCACGGTCGGTCGAGGTAGCCTGATAATCCCTCAGAAGGCCCTGCAGCTTCTGCACCATCTGCCGCTCGTCCTTCAAGTCGCCCAGTTTCTGCAGTATCTGATCGAGCAACGGATTCGTCACCTTCGTAGGCGACGACTGGAGAGACGCGGTTCCCGTAGCGGACGCTCTGATCCTCCTGCCGTTCCTATCGTACTGAACTCCGTTCAGGCTCGGCCGCGACTGCAGACTCTGCCTGCCCGGGCTCTTCCGCGAGAAACTCGGCGTCGTGGCGCACGTGGCCGGCGTCGAGCTCGGATCCAAGAAGGTGTCCGTCTGAATGCTGGCTCGCCGCCTGGTCTGACGGCCGTTCCACGTGGCGCTACCGCCAAAGGACGTCGTCTTCGTGAAACTGGGAATCGGTATCGGTGACAGCGCTTTGCTGAGACTTCCGCTCGGCGTTGACTTGCGGACCGTTCCGTTACCCCGGTTGCGCATCGAGCCGCCTCGGTTCAGCGGACTACCCTCCGGGCTGGAATTGCTGTCCTTGGGCGTCTTGCTTCCGGACGAGGTCTTGGATAGGTTGCTGTTCTCTCGCGCGACGGAACCGGCTCGTGGGGTCCTGTCGTCCGTCGACGAGGACGCCGTGCTCCTGGACGGGGACGAGACTCGTAAAGGACTCGCCAGTCTGTCCTTTCGAATCACCTTGCGCAGCCCGGTCTCGATGCTGTCGGTCTCCACGCCAGATCTTTCCTCAGGCTCAGTTTTTGGCGGTTGCTCTGAAACAGGAAGCGGGAAGTCGTGCGTTTCTGAGACGCTCAAATGTGTCATTAATTGATTGTTTGTTCGATATGACATGTTTTCTCTTAGATATTATAAAGATAGAGAAGTACATAAAATTTGTTATTGGCGTTATTCTTAATTATTCTCACGTAAAATTAGTCCAAACTTTTATGACAGATCAATATTTTGTATTTATTTTTTATATTGCGTCTATTTCAATTAATGAACTTGGCGAAACTAACTAATTAATAACGCCTTATTCCAAACATTAGAAATCATGAAATTATATAAGTAAATTATTAGATGTAATTATCATGTGGTATCTTGTCGTTAACATTGTCATTATAATGACATTTTCTATGACGAACGCACGCGCACAACGATCGAAACCTAAATCCCGTTCTTTCTTCATTATCGCGAGGTGTCAACTTTCGCGAACATATGTGATTTAGGATCCGAAAAAAATGTCGACGATCACCGAATCGGTCGGTGTCATGCTTAGCATTTTTAGCGTAGGCGAGGTGAAGGAACGGGCCCTGACACAATTGGGACCGAATGCGGTCTGTCCTGTCACTTTACATCGGCGAAAACAACACTCCCGCGAAAGGTCGAAGGCAACTATCTATTCCAAAGACAAATGGATCTCTTCATCGGAACTGCCGCGCACAACTTGTAACCATAAATCTTCTGCTACTTTATATAACACGAAAACCATGAATTTTTCTACATAATTTTATATAATCAGTTACGTAAACCTTATTACCATCGTCTCCGCATATATCATTTCATTTCACAATTTATGTTCTATTACATATAGTAATTATTGATCGTATATTTATATTTATTATACAATTATTAATATTATTATTGATCTGCAATTAAAAAATATTATCCGGATAATTACATATAAGATTTTTATTATAAATTTTTATAAAAAGATGGCAATACATTTAAAAGAGAAATAGCGATAAACTTATAAAAATTTCTCAATAAAATGGAATACAAATAATTAATATTACATAAGCAATGCGTTACATTTAATTATAATTATTGAAAATTATACATTTATCTGCGATAATTTGATGGTTTTATATTCAGTTTTCGAGAAACTTCATTTTTTTCTTCGCTTTAAAATTTATGTCTTGATATATTATGCGCGTACTATGTAATTAAAGTATCGACTTTCGTATATTTTTTCTGATTAACTGATACCATCAAAACGTTGCATATCGTTTCATATTTCTTTTTCGCGTATTGCGAACACCCACGTATATATAATACCACAGAGAGAGAAGCCATTCTTCGGCAAATAGAGAAATTAGCATATATAAGATAGGCAATAAGAGCCAAATCGCGGATGACAGTGCGTTATTCTAAACGAAACTAAATTTTTTCGTTAGAAATAAATACCTGTGCACAAGGCACCAAATTTTTACTTGGACACGGCCAAGATATAAAATTGGAATAATCTCTACAAGAGATTTTTAATTCCATGTATCCCCTATTCCCCTAAAGAAATAAAGTGCGAGAGAAAAATATAGATCCGAAAGTCGCAGAATCGGGAATCGAACCCGAGACCTTTCGCTTGCGGCGACTGCTCTTCCAACTGAGCTATTCAGATCCTTTCGATTCTATACTTTTCTCTGTTATATATATTAATGTTGGTAAATAAACGCCTTTAAGCCAGCGTGTATAAATAAGAGTTTAACTAGGCTCTGTAATATATAAATATAAATTTAACATATATAAGATAGGCAATAAGAGCCAAATCGCGGATGACAGTGCGTTATTCTAAACGAAACTAAATTTTTCGTTAGAAATAAATACCTGTGCACAAGGCACCAAATTTTACTTGGACACGGCCAAGATATAGAATTGGAATAATCTCTACAAGAGATTTTTAATTCCATGTATCCCCTATTCCCCCTAAAGAAATAAAGTGCGAGAGAAAAATATAGATCCGAAAGTCGCAGAATCGGGAATCGAACCCGAGACCTTTCGCTTGCCGGGCGACTGCTCTTCCAACTGAGCTATTCAGATCCTTTCGATTCTATACTTTTCTCTGTTATATATATTAATGTTGGTAAATAAACGCCTTTAAGCCAGCGTGTATAAATTAAGAGTTTAACTAGGCTCTGTAATATATAAATATAAATTTAACATATATAAGATAGGCAATAAGAGCCAAATCGCGGATGACAGTGCGTTATTCTAAACGAAACTAAATTTTTTCGTTAGAAATAAATACCTGTGCACAAGGCACCAAATTTTTACTTGGACACGGCCAAGATATAAAATTGGAATAATCTCTACAAGAGATTTTTAATTCCATGTATCCCCTATTCCCCCTAAAGAAATAAAGTGCAAGAGAAAAATATAGATCCGAAAGTCGCAGAATCGGGAATCGAACCCGAGACCTTTCGCTTGCCGGGCGACTGCTCTTCCAACTGAGCTATTCAGATCCTTTCGATTCTATACTTTTCTCTGTTATATATATAATGTTGGTAAATAAACGCCTTTAAGCCAGCGTGTATAAATTAAGAGTTTAACTAGGCTCTGTAATATATAAATATAAATTTAACATATATAAGATAGGCAATAAGAGCCAAATCGCGGATGACAGTGCGTTATTCTAAACGAAACTAAATTTTTTCGTTAGAAATAAATACCTGTGCACAAGGCACCAATTTTTACTTGGACACGGCCAAGATATAAAATTGGAATAATCTCTACAAGAGATTTTAATTCCATGTATCCCCTATTCCCCCTAAAGAAATAAAGTGCGAGAGAAAAATATAGATCCGAAAGTCGCAGAATCGGGAATCGAACCCGAGATCTTTCGCTTGCCGGGCGACTGCTCTTCCAACTGAGCTATTCAGATCCTTTCGATTCTATACTTTTCTCTGTTATATATATTAATGTTGGTAAATAAACGCCTTTAAGCCAGCGTGTATAAATTAAGAGTTTAACTAGGCTCTGTAATATATAAATATAAATTTAACATATATAAGATAGGCAATAAGAGCCAAATCGCGGATGACAGTGCGTTATTCTAAACGAAACTAAATTTTTTCGTTAGAAATAAATACCTGTGCACAAGGCACCAAATTTTTACTTGGACACGGCCAAGATATAAAATTGGAATAATCTCTACAAGAGATTTTTAATTCCATGTATCCCCTATTCCCCCTAAAGAAATAAAGTGCGAGAGAAAAATATAGATCCGAAAGTCGCAGAATCGGGAATCGAACCCGAGACCTTTCGCTTGCCGGGCGACTGCTCTTCCAACTGAGCTATTCAGATCCTTTCGATTCTATACTTTTCTCTGTTATATATATTAATGTTGGTAAATAAACGCCTTTAAGCCAGCGTGTATAAATTAAGAGTTTAACTAGGCTCTGTAATATATAAATATAAATTTAACATATATAAGATAGGCAATAAGAGCCAAATCGCGGATGACAGTGCGTTATTCTAAACGAAACTAAATTTTTTCGTTAGAAATAAATACCTGTGCACAAGGCACCAAATTTTTACTTGGACACGGCCAAGATATAAAATTGGAATAATCTCTACAAGAGATTTTTAATTCCATGTATCCCCTATTCCCCCTAAAGAAATAAAGTGCGAGAGAAAAATATAGATCCGAAAGTCGCAGAATCGGGAATCGAACCCGAGACCTTTCGCTTGCCGGGCGACTGCTCTTCCAACTGAGCTATTCAGATCCTTTCGATTCTATACTTTTCTCTGTTATATATATTAATGTTGGTAAATAAACGCCTTTAAGCCAGCGTGTATAAATTAAGAGTTTAACTAGGCTCTGTAATATATAAATATAAATTTAACATATATAAGATAGGCAATAAGAGCCAAATCGCGGATGACAGTGCGTTATTCTAAACGAAACTAAATTTTTTCGTTAGAAATAAATACCTGTGCACAAGGCACCAAATTTTTACTTGGACACGGCCAAGATATAAAATTGGAATAATCTCTACAAGAGATTTTTAATTCCATGTATCCCCTATTCCCCCTAAAGAAATAAAGTGCGAGAGAAAAATATAGATCCGAAAGTCGCAGAATCGGGAATCGAACCCGAGACCTTTCGCTTGCCGGGCGACTGCTCTTCCAACTGAGCTATTCAGATCCTTTCGATTCTATACTTTTCTCTGTTATATATATTAATGTTGGTAAATAAACGCCTTTAAGCCAGCGTGTATAAATTAAGAGTTTAACTAGGCTCTGTAATATATAAATATAAATTTAACATATATAAGATAGGCAATAAGAGCCAAATCGCGGATGACAGTGCGTTATTCTAAACGAAACTAAATTTTTTCGTTAGAAATAAATACCTGTGCACAAGGCACCAAATTTTTACTTGGACACGGCCAAGATATAAAATTGGAATAATCTCTACAAGAGATTTTTAATTCCATGTATCCCCTATTCCCCCTAAAGAAATAAAGTGCGAGAGAAAAATATAGATCCGAAAGTCGCAGAATCGGGAATCGAACCCGAGACCTTTCGCTTGCCGGGCGACTGCTCTTCCAACTGAGCTATTCAGATCCTTTCGATTCTATACTTTTCTCTGTTATATATATTAATGTTGGTAAATAAACGCCTTTAAGCCAGCGTGTATAAATTAAGAGTTTAACTAGGCTCTGTAATATATAAATATAAATTTAACATATATAAGATAGGCAATAAGAGCCAAATCGCGGATGACAGTGCGTTATTCTAAACGAAACTAAATTTTTTCGTTAGAAAAATACCTGTGCACAAGGCACCAAATTTTTACTTGGACACGGCCAAGATATAAAATTGGAATAATCTCTACAAGAGATTTTTAATTCCATGTATCCCTATTCCCCCTAAAGAAATAAAGTGCGAGAGAAAAATATAGATCCGAAAGTCGCAGAATCGGGAATCGAACCCGAGACCTTTCGCTTGCCGGGCGACTGCTCTTCCAACTGAGCTATTCAGATCCTTTCGATTCTATACTTTTCTCTGTTATATATATTAATGTTGGTAAATAAACGCCTTTAAGCCAGCGTGTATAAATTAAGAGTTTA